GAAAAGTATTATCTGATGCAAGTTTTAGAATATTTTGTCAGTGTTTCTAGTTATTTTTCTAGTAAGGTGGATATGTAGCAACACCTAGAACAATGCACACCATAACAAGGTCTCAGTAAGTGGTTAATACTACAGTCATTTTTCCTAATGCCTGTTCCATTGTTATTCATAGAGTTGTGAAATGATATAATTTAGTGGTTCAAGTGACCGTTAAAGGTATCCATCCAAGACTCATGCAGTCCTTCTTAAACTGAGAAACCTAAGAAGGAGAAATGTTTAGCAGCCTCCAGATGACAGCAACATAGGTTCGCTTTCTTTGTAGGAAACTACTGGCATGCCATGGGATGTGCACTATTGCCAATAGCTCTTACTGGTAGATTTGAAAGTCCTATATAATCCCCGAGACCCTAAACTCCTTAAAGGGAATTTTTTATGTCTTGGAAATCTGCAAAATGTTCTTCGTGCTTAATTCTGTATTAAGGAGAATCTTGGATATTAAAGAATGCTTGTATTCCTGACCATTCACAGAACCCATTGAGTCTAGATAGTAAGGCACAGTGCATTTGAAGTTACATTTTAGACTCTGGTGCCTGGGGTTACTTAAAAAGCATGTTGTTGTATCTTTAATATGTCTGAGGAATAAATGCAGCATATTAAGTTCAGCAATGTGTACTTTTACCAACTCACTTTCAAAGTTATGATTAAAATACCTGCTTTTTTTGCTTTGAAAACTTTTTGACACGTTTCAAAAAGGAATAAAGTATTAAAGGACACGTGTAAACGAAATTTGTTGAATTTTAATCTCCCTTTTCTTGTACCTATAAAGCAAAGTGTTTATATATGTAAGTAAGTGTTGCATTGATAAAGAACAAAATGGGGCTATTTTTAGCAAGAATATGCCATGGCACTGAGAATGTGAACTGTTGCCTGCAACGGATGGCAAGGTTTGGGGGCTAGAGGTCTGTCCTGTCAGAGCAACCCCACTCATTGGACCATTGTGGAAGGCCTGTCTCCTGGTATTTCAGTTACAGAAATTGAACATACTCATACTGGGGCGTAACCCTTCAGAGAGTGTGTGGATGGGTGTGGAAGAGTCTTTGCAGAAGGATTAAGTAGGATATTCCATAGCCGAGTGTTCTTGGGGAGGCCTCCTATCCACTGCAGTAGAGAGCTGGGAATCAGCTGGGAATGTGATTCCTAATACGATCTTCCAGTCTTGTCCCGGCTCCTGCCTGCTGCCATATTATTTCTAGGAAGGCTTTTGAATAGAATGAAAAGGGAAGCTTAAGAACCTTTAGTTCATTCTATGCTAATTGGATCTTTTATGAAGTTGAGTCCCTTTAATAATGAAAGCACGTTAGTTACTTGGGTGTCTGGCTGCTCAGCCACACTCATAGTAAGCACCAGACGTGCAGCTCACGACGTTAGTGACAGCAAGTGATGCGGTGCAGGTTCACAAGCATTGTGAGAACTTGGAGGAGGCTTGCTCGGACTTTCCCTGTTGGCAGGTCTTTATCAGAAATGCAGACTTTGAGATCAAAGGGATTAAAATAATACATGTAACAGACTTGGAGCGACCTTAGCAGTAAGTCTTTATCCTTTCCTTTTCCTTCTGGGGTTCCACTGGCATTTGCTCTTTTTAATAACCAAGCTAATCTGATCCATTCTCTTGGCCTGTGTGGGCCACTCTGGTGGTCCTTTCCCCTTCACATCCTGTTGTTTTGTAGATGGTCAAGTGACAGCTTAATTGTGTTAAGGTTTATGTAACATCTGAGGGATGTAACGTTCCCAGAAACTCAGATGAGAATGTTAGGTCCTTTCCTTAGTGTCTCCCACCCTGCTTACCAGAGCATAGACTGTTAGCCACTGTCAGATGCTATTGGTAAAACATACATGCTCACCCTTACCCTTTCTTCTTTTCTTCCCTCTTTCTCTGCTCACCTTCCCTCTTTTTCCCTTCCCTTCCTTCCCCTCCCTGCAACCCTTCTCCTCTTACCTTCCTTCTTCTCATTTGTTTCTTTGATACTGTCTCAGTATATAGCTCAGGCTGGCCCGGAGCTTGCCATCCTGCTGTGTCAGTCCGTGTGCAGGGATGGCAGATGCGCACTAGCACACCCAAGCTTTGGTGAAGTTTGCTGTTGTCATCTTGACTCCCGTACCTTTATGATACTGTTGTGGAGATTTTACAGTTTCGTACGCTATCTTCTTTTGTTTGTTCTGAATTTATGTTACGCTCATGGCCTCAAGTTTGCGCCTCAGAAAAGCAACAGTTTATCACATCATGGTTTCCGTTTCTGAGACCAGGGAATCCATAGCCTGATACCCTGTTCCGCTTTCAGAGCGGTGGATTTCCTGAGTTGTTTCTTCTTACAGGCTAATCTTCACAGAATGGCAGAGTCAGTTCTACTACTGTTTAGTTGCTAGATCTTTCCTTCCTTGTACCTTCAGGATAGTGCGTGTGAGCTGTGGTGTGAAGGTCTCTGATGGGACAAGGAGCTGGTCATGTAAGTGCCGGTCTTTCTTTGCATGGATGGTCCCTGGCAGTGTAGAGATTTGCCTTGTCCTTATTTTATGTACTTTGGGGGTCGTGTTAGCCCCCAAAGTTTAGAGCTTTTATGCATTTAAAGCTGAGCGCATGATCTCATCCTTCTCTAATACCAGTTTTAATCTTCTTCAACATGATATCCTAGCTGCATAGCTTCTGCATTAGCAGGATTCTGTTTTCTCTGCTTACTGAGGGTATTTTGCTCCCGCTTAATCTACCCACTTCTGCTCTTAGCTATTTGAGCATCCTATTCCAGGACTTCCTATCTGTGATCTTTTTTTATCTGTCTTCATCCAGATGTCTCTAATTCATTGGGTAATACCATTAGTGATACAGAAATGCCAATTGTGTATCTGGTTTGTAATGAGGAATAAGGGATACCATTTGTGTGAGCTGGGGTAAATTCTGTATGATGCGCTCAGAAACTACAGTAGAGACATAGAGTGGGAACGCTTTATCCAGAGCAGAGGGGCTACGGGGGGACAGAAAGGAAGTCAGGGAAGGCAGCAGGGACCAGGGTACAGGGTTGAAAAGCAGCATGCCTGTGACTATGGTGTGGCAAGATTTCTTAGAGTCAGGAATAAAAATTGTAGTGACGGAACACCTGGCTGAAACTAGAGTTCAGTTCCTTGGGCTCCCAGGGCGTGTTCTTGAATGTTCATACGCTATCCCATGAGGTTGAGGAAGCAGCTTCTATATCAACATGCCTCCACACAGTGATCCTTGTCTCAGGTTCCTGTTCAGGTTAGGAAGACTGTCAGCTTTGTAATCAAGCAATCTTGGTTTGTGCAATTATCTTTAATTGCCGAGAAATCTTAAGAAACTGCACTGTTTCCATATCCCTGTGATGGGGATAATAGTCGTGCACGCTTTGTGCTGTTCCTATCAGAGTGAAAGCATTGCCATGGTTAAGCAGCCAAATCCTCGGTCCTGTAGGTTCTAAACAATGCCCAGCATCTTGGGCAATGCCAAATTTTTCTTAACAAGATATTTATTTGTTAATTTTAGTATATGCTTTTATATCCATGTGTCTCTTAATGCATTTTAATTTACCTACTCATCTTCCTTCTGAACTGAAGAACTAGGAATGTCATAGATCATATGCCTTGGCTAAGTCCCAGAATAAAGAAGGTTAGAAGTTAGGGTGATGCTAGTGTTCAGCCTTTTCCATCTTCTACGTAGGAAGAATTAAGAGGAGGCAAATTTTGGAAAGATGTTTGTTTTCTGGAGTCTTTAAGCCCGAATTTTCATCCATTCTATCTCAGAATAGATACTCACATCTGTCTACTTGCACTCTGGAAATAGTGAGCCAAGGCCTTCTCTTTCCCATGCATATTTACCACTTATAAAGATTTTTGAGGTGAACTAATTGTACTGTCATTGCTACATGCTATGTCAGAAGACAAGTGTGCTTGGGTTTCGTAGCCCTGGTTAGTGGGAGCATTCCAGAAATGCCAGCTCCCAGTGCCCTCCAGGAGCTGCTAATGGTTTCCACTTGAGTATTTCAGAGTGGTTCCAGCTTTGTTCTTTTAACTTGAATTTCCTTGGCACAGCGTTTTGTTACTAGTTGAATTTATGGGCAGGATATAGTTGGTGCATAAATGTAAATTACATTCGTTTTGTTTTTGTTTTGGGAGATTGATTTTTTTAAGTACTAGGTCAATGAGAGTGACTTTGGCAAGCAAATTATTTGAAATTAACTTCTCCGCAAGCGGGGCTTTGGGATAACGAGTGAATTATTCTTCAGTTACTAAAATAGAAGCATTCGCTTGATGTAAACTCCAAAGAGAAGTCCTCTAGTCATTTTGTCAATATTTGTCACACCCAAATTATTGTCTCTGCGAGACAAGGTCAGCTCTGCAATTAGTGAAGGTGCACACGTGTCTTCAGGCAATAACCAAGCTCCACAACCATTTGTACAAAGGCAGTCTGATGACCATTTGCTGTCAGTCGGATCACATGACTGTCTTGTTTTCATTGTCTCAGGTCATCTTATCTTTCCATTCCTTCAAGCATGTTAGTGGTGGATCCGTGGATGCCAAGCTCATGCTATTTCTATAGAATCAAATAAGAATAAATAGTAATATAAAGTTCTTATCTTTTATAATGTTACAGATTACTTTGCTCATTATCTTAGACATCATTTTATAGAGAGATTGATACTGTAAAGCTGTAATCGCCTTACCTTCCATATTCTCTGTCATAGTTCATAGATTATAGAACTCTGTGACTGAGGAAGTATCTTGATTGACACCACAATGTTTTAGAAATTCTCTGACTTACTTCCTAATGAATCAGTGGATTGATATGCTAACATTGCACATTTTGCTTAACAGTTGGTAGGAAATCCAGAGGTGGTTGCCCATTCTCACTGATGTATCTGGCAGACTGTAGGTGTGAAGTGGCATTTATCTGAATTCGGATTCTAACTCTCATCTCCCCTCTGTCGTTCCAGTTGTTTTTATTTCAGTTGCTGCGAGGGCTGTCGTACATCCACCAGCGGTATATTCTGCACAGAGACCTGAAACCACAGAACCTTCTGATCAGTGACACGGGGGAGCTGAAGCTGGCAGATTTCGGTAGGAAGGCAGCTAATTGCCAGTTTGTTTGTCTCACTGTGCGAATGCCAGGCAGATGGGCACTGCCTTTGCTTAGGCGCTGTTCTCTGTCATCACTGATCCTGGTAATCCTTTTTTTTCTGGAACAAAGGAATGATTTCCATCTTTTGAAAAATGATAAAGTAAAACATAATGGTTGGTGGATTTTTATAAAGTAGAGACTGTTTACTATTCTTCCTTGTATAATCACAAGATCTTCACACATGTCATCAAACAAAATCTCAGGAAAATTTTGAACATAAAATATACTCAAGGAGATCTAGTTTCTTTTCCTTGCTTTTATTTTGAAAATAATCTGTAGTCAAATAACAGGGTGAATTACCACACAACTTCAAGAAGTCTAAGCATTTTATTAAGTGTGAGGAGCTGTGAAGTGAAATCCCGGTACCAGTTTTGGCATCCTGGGCGGACAGCACTCCAAAGTATATGTTCCTCTAAGGACACGATAATGTAGGGTTTAGTGCAATTGTACCAGGAGTGACTGTTATTTTGGGCATTCCTCATAGCGCTGTGAACAAGAACACTTTTCACAAGTCTAGGTCCTAGAGCAGGCCTCTTAGAAGATGTTCTCAGAAATTTGAAGCTTGGCCTTTCATATCTTTGCAAATCTGACGGAAGCCAATCTGGCGCCTCGCCGTTCTGCCGCTGTGCTGTGGCCCACTGGGGTCCCCGCAGTGGAATGTCACTTGATGGCAATGTGCTGTGTTGACGCTACACTGCCTCAATCATTTCTGAATACGTATTCAGATTAGAAATTTGTTCCATTAAGAATGGAATGAAAATATTACCCTTGGGATATAAAAATGCCTGAGGTTGAGACAACCTTTTGAGGAAAATAATTATTTTCCCCTATTCCAACCCTGAATAAATAGAAGAGGGAAGGGAGTGGCTGTTTATTTCAAGGTCAGGTAGTTGAACACTAGCAGACACATCTACACTACTGGGTTTTATGTGTGCCTTTCTTCCAGAGAGAAAAGGAAGCAAAGTTAGCACGATTAGTGATGTGTGTCACGAAACACCCTTCTTTATCAGTTACTTTAATATAAACAGTGAAGCTTTGTATGGTGTCATGCATGAGTTGTTTATTGTCAGATTTGGCATCAGGATTATATGAGATAGCTAGATATAAAGTCTGTTCCAATACAGAAACAAGTAATGGGGAGGGGGTGAGTGGTAGAGAGAAATTCTGAGGTTCCTCAGGTTCAAGGAGCTAGCTTTGTGGCAGTCGTGTTGAAGTTTGTTGCTGTCAACTTTAAAAGAATTTACATTTTAACAGTGATTTTTTTGAACCATAGTTTGCCAGTGTAAGATATCTCTTGAAGTATATTGTTGCATTGAACATTTAACTGAATTGAGCCTGCTCCTTACATTTTGTGTTGAATATCTCAATAAATGTGCAATATAGAGATTATTTGTCTGCACAACTGAAGATGCAGTAGAATTGTCTAAATGTGCTTTATGATTAGTTTTACATTTTAAGATGTTATTAATTTAGCAAGGTATGTTCATCTTCAAAGACTCTCTAAGTCTTCTGGTTTTCCAGTTTTAGTCAAGTCAGTCCTGAAAATACTCATACGACCAACATTATATAGGTCATGTTTTGGAATATATGTTTCCAAACAAAACATTAGCATTTTATATCAGACTAAGTAACACACTGAGATGGAAGTCTTAAAGCCTGCAGTGATTTTTTTAAATGTAGGAAATTTAGGAAAATTAATAACTCAGCAATTATTTTTTAACATTTTTATAAGTTTCGTTTGTCTTTTTTGTGCCTCTGTTTCACTTACCTATTACATATCCTCAAAATAGATGCGTACTCTTGTCTAAGTATTTATCTTATATGTCTTTAATGTTTATTCATGGTAAGAAGTATGGCAAAAATCATTTGTATCAGCTGGGATTTTTCTGTTATTGGCTAAAGTGTTATTTCTGTTCATGCACACTCCTGTGTGTGTGTGTGTGTGTGTGTGTGTGTGTGTGTGTGTGTGTGTGTGTTTCACTCTTTGTGGTAAAAGAATGATGTACTAGCAGTGCGGTGATGAGAGTTTTAGCAGAATCAGTTCTTTGTTCCACACTGATCTGCAGAGCATGGCCCGTGAACTTTCAGTGACAAATCAGTTAGTTGTCTAGCTAATAACATGCAGTTGGCGTGCGGCCTGTGCATGGAGTGTTAGGAGCAAGACTCATTCACCAATTGACAATTCCCCCCCCCCCAATTAATTGTGCATTATTTTGTATGTTAATTAAAAGATACGTGATTACCTGTGATTTACTGTGTTGGGGCACAAGTGTGTGTGAGCTGAAGGAAATGCATGGGAAAGTACAATGAAGCTAAATAGTTAAATCAGGACAGCTCCAGGCAGCAGAACACTTAGACACAGGTCTTCATCCAGAGCCCGACACTTGAAGAGCTTTGTAAATCATTTCTTTGTCTTACCTTTATCTTTCTTGTGAACAAAGGCCATAAACATCTGGACAAAAGAGGCGGATGTGTTCTGAAGGACTGTATCCCCTATACTGTAAATGCTGCTTCCTTATTAGAAAAAAAAATGCTGGAAGATAATTATCAGGCTTATCCTATGTTCTGCATGTGCATAATTCGCTTCTTGTTTCCTCGCTAAATAGGCTTGTGGCAAGCAGCCCACCTTTGAGAGAAGTGTGACATTTGGAGTGAGGTAGACCTTAGGAGTCTTGGCCATACAGGTGTGTGGTCACAAAGCTGGGACAGTAGGGACCTTATCCATAACCTTTAATCTCAGGTGGCCCTGTGTCTTCATACTTATAGACAGAGACATTTTCCTTAGAGTAAATTACTACCTAATTCTTTAAAAACTTGTATAACTCTTTGGAAAAGTCTTGATCATTATGTGAATGATATATATGGATGTGTGTAGGTCTATTCTACATACAATAAATAGGATATCATTGCTATGTCTATAGATCATACTAATAAAATATATCTCAGAATTTACACAACATTCTTTTTTCATTTCACTAATTTAGCAGTAATGGGTGCATTGGGCTTTAATACTATGGTGATTTTTGTCCTTGGGTAAGGTAAACCAGATGTTGCTGTATTTGTAGATCCTTTAACTCAGAACAGAATATAATTTAATGTTTTCAGGAAACTGAGTCCTGCTTACCACTCACATGAACATCATTTTCTCCGTGTATTTAGAATAAATGAGTTAAGCTGGTTTAGCACCTCGACATTACTGTTGCAGGGGTTACTCTGTTGTGTGCTAAAATCGTCTGTGCCATTTGGACTCACTATATCTCTAGGGAAAATAGTTCAAATCTGTCATGCAGCACCACACTAATGAGGACATAGGCTGCAAATGGAACAACAAAATCCCCAACCTGTCCCCTCACCACAACCTTTTCCTGGCCTTTCTTGTCTCCTGGGATGCTCACCTTTCTGCTTCCCATGTGGGTGTCCTTTTTCTTATTCTTATTTATAGAGGGATGGTTCATGTGACCCTGCCCAGAATAGGGCCATTCTCCATGTTCTCATTAGCTTAGCCACTTCGCTCACATTTCCAATGCATTGAAGGTATTCTAGTCACTTGCTTTTTTATTTTTATTTTTTGCTTATCTTGCTCACTATTATCTGTGCTATGTGCACAACCCTGTGCTTGGTGTGTGAAATGAAAGGCAATGGTCTTTTTAGTGTTGGTGGGTTTTTGTTGAACATTTTTAACCTTGTTAACCTATTTTCTAGTGGTGAGGGGCGTACTAGTAATTAAAAATCTGTCCACTAAGTCTAAATCAGTATCCTGCTATTCCTCCGAGGAATCTAAGTTTTGATTCTTTTTCTTCTTCTTCTTCTTTTTGAGATTAATACAATCTCATCATTTCCGCTTTCCCTTCCTTCCCCTAATCCATCTCATATGTTCCCTCCACACCCTTACTCTCATTCAAATGCATGGCCTCATTTTCTTTAATTATTGTTACATACATATGTATGCATGTGTGCTTGTCCCTAAATATGTAAATACAACCTGCGTAGTCTATATAATGTTATTTCTATGTCTTCAGTTGTTTGAAATTCAAACAGATGAGTCCAGTCATACTTTTCTGATGTATTGAGTACATTAAAAGAAATCGAAGCACAGACAGCAAATGCATGAATTCATCAAGACTTAGAAGCTTATTTACTGTTTAGCAGTGTAAGAACTCAAAATATTTTCATCTAAATTAGATTATAGCAAAATAGAGTTTAGATTTCCAATTTTATGTGGTTAGAGTCATCCAGGTCTCTTCTGTCTTCAAAGGTCACAGACTCATTGTATTGAAAGACAATTAGGCTAAGTGTGTGCCTTGGTGTTGGAAGAGATCTCCAAGAACTCTCTAATCAGCATTTGAAGTCATAGCTTGTTTTACTGTGGAGGTAAACAGCCGTGGCTTTAGTCAAGGAAAATCACTGTTGTCTTCCTGCCGTTGGCCTAGAACATCACTTTCCTGAGGTTGATAGTTCTCACCGAGATTTTTTTATGGAACTTTTGTAAATTGACTTTATATTAATTTAAGGGATATGCTAGAAATGTGTCTTTGTAGAGGACATATTAAGTGGATGGTCGTTTGTTCTGTGCTTCTTGGAATTCACATAGGAAATAGTAGAACACAAAGAAATAAAATTTCAAATGAAAAGTAGGGTCCCTCCATTTGGTTTGCTAGATATGAAGTCTTTTATTCCAAAAGGTATAGGTGTTCAACTATTTTGTATTGTTCACAAATTAAATTTATTATTAGAACTATAATAATGACTTAAGGTTAAACTTCACCAATTTGTCATGGCCTACAGGATTCTATTTTACTATATGTTACTTCTAGCATGTAGTTTGTAATAATAAATGACTTTATTACCCAACGAAGTGTCACTATACTTTTAAAAGACCATTGGACCATTAAGCATATAAGCAATTTTTAATGTACAGTTTAGGCAGCTGCTTTTATGT